GGAAAGCGAATTTTGGGAATGATGAGGGCAATAAATGTATAGGTGTGCTTTACACAATTGATCTATGTATTGTGATGAATTGTATGAGCCCCAATAAAATGATTTTTAAAAAATCTTCCACAAGCTTTGCAAAGGCTTTATTTTTGCTTATTGCAGAATAGTTCCTACCTGTGGGGAGCCGGCCTCTTTCTCTTTCTCCCTGGAAGTGAGCCACACACACTAACTCTCGCTCTCTGCTTTCACCTAGCTGTTCACAAGCCACTTGGAGCCATGTTGGGACTTGTCAGGGCCCTGAAGATGCTTCCACTGCCACTGGATTCACAAGAATTTGCACTCATGGCCCGTGATCTGCATTTTGCCTCATTGCATATGTTACGTGACTCTGAAGAAGGGTTTATGGACTAGTATGGAACTTTTGGGCTGATATCAGGCTTATGGACTTGATCTGAATTGTGCTGGAATTTTTAAAAATATACAATTAAATAAATAAGGGGCAAAACACACACACTCACAGACACACCAAACCAAACAAAAACCAGGCACACTTATGGATCTTGAAATATGATCTAAAAAGCAAGGAGATTGGAAATTAACCAAAATTCCATTCAGGCTAGGAGTGGATAAAAACATTTTGATACCTACATGTAATGGAATAGATGCAGATGCATAATTAGAAACATTGATAAAACTGACAAATTTCTGATGGAATGGACAACTTTGGAGGACGATAAATATGAATTGATCATTTAAAAACAGGCAGAAGACCTGAATAGACCATTCACCGATTGACATCTAGGTAGCAAGAAAAACTCATGCAGGCAAGCTTCAAAAGACTAGCCATTTGAGAAACTCATATCATAACAGTATTAGATATCACTTTACATGGCGCTGATAGCTAAGTTTAAAAACAAAAATAGAAAATTAAAAAATGCTAGAGATGATGTGGACAAATTTAACCATCACATACGTGTTTCAATTTTTGTTCCACTTCAATTTTAGTATTGCTTGTATAGAATATTTTTGTAACACTTTATTTTCTCATGTTTTTGAGATCAGGTTGATCTCTATCATTGTTACAGATTTATCTGCCCATCTGATTCCTTTTAATATACTTTGTAATGGTGATCCTGTGTTCATAAAGTCCTTTGGTTTTCCCTTATCTGTAAATACTTTTATTTCTCTGTCATAATTTTGCTAAATAGAGCATTGTTGGTTGATAATGTTTTTCCTTTCAAAATTTTGAAAATAGAAGTCCATTTCCATCTTGCCTGAATGACCTAAGTGGAAAAATCTGCACTTATCCTGATAGCATGGCCTTTCTATGCCATTGATCTTATTTTGTTCGATGCTCTTGGGGTCGTTTCCGTTTCTTTAACATTGGAAAGTTTGATTATTATATGTCAACTTGATATCGCTTTTTTTCTGAAGTAAAACTGTTAATTGGAAATCTCTGAATACATTTTAAATGGTAGCTCAGTATTTCCAAACAGGGTGGGCTGGAGAAGGGGTGCTACCACCTGGGGACAGGTGTCTGGCCCAGCTGCTGCAGGACCTGGTCTGTGCTCCCCCCAGGCTCAGCTGGGGTCAGGATGCTGCTTCCCTGGGCTCCTGTCAGAGGGCGGTAGCCTGCACAGGCCTTTTCATGCAAGGCCTCAGAGCTGAGCGGGGGCCATCAGTAAACTTGTCTTGTCGGGGTGAATGTGGGGTGGTCTAGCAGGCCCAGGGACGGCCACGTTAGGAAGTGCTCTGGCCCTAGGGCAGTCGGACAGCATAGCTGGGGTATTTCTTTGCAGCAGCAGAGTGCCTGTGCTGGGCCTGGCTCAGCCCCTCCGACCTAGAGGTCAGCCCTACAGGTGGGAGCAGTATCACATGTCACATGCAGGTTCCTAACAAGCAGTCGACAGAGCGCCACCTGTGCCATGGAAGGGCAGTTGCTGCCCAAGAACAGGGGCGGGCCAGAGGGAGGAGACAGGCCCAGTGCCCCAGTTAGGCCGTGAGGGGGGACAGATGGCAGGTGGCCAAGGCTAGGCCCTTGACTTCATCAAGTAACAACAGCTGAAAGGTTAGTCAGAGGCCCAGCTTTGGTTTCTCAACAGGAACCAATCCAACCAATGGGCCCAGGGCAGTGTGAGGAGCTTGGG